ATACTTTCTTCCATCTATTCACATTTCAAATTTGATAATTGGAAGCAAATTGTAAATAGGAGGCTTTATGGTGAGGATGAAGGAGAGGACTCTGCAGCCATTTCACGTTCTTAAACCCTTTCTTATTTAAATGCCGTCAAATTATTCGAGAGCTGCATCCATCATCTGTATTTGCTTTTATCTGATTTGATGTTAAGCTTGAATCTCTTAACTTCTTGCCTAATGCGTCTGTCTAGAGATGGTGAGATTTTATTGGGATGACTGCTTGATTTTTTTAGAAGCATATGCATCTAGATTTTTAATAAAGTTAGCAATGACAGTTCTTCTATGGCTAATTTCATTTGCAATGACTTGTTGCAAAAGACAACATCTTTGAAGTTCAACAATCCTGCCCTGTTTGAACTTTGTTAAAATTTTACCCTTAGCCATTTTAAAATCTGAAATTTAATGCTGGAAATGAGCTAAGTAGTTGTATTCATGCCTCAAGCTATGAGAACACTTACTAGTTCTAAATTTTTGCCCAGTAATTTTTTTTTCACACATGGTCTTATCTTTATGACCATCTCCCAAAAATACTTTTTCAATGTTTGTTTAAATTAATCAATTAAAAGCTTAAAATTTTCACATTACATTTTCTAATTAAATGTAAATATATTTTGATTAAAGTAACAGTATTTTATATTTTTAACACTTTTGTATCTGGTCTTAAGATTTTGACCGTGTGTGTGTGTGTGTGTGTGTGTGTGTATATATATATATATATATATATATCTTATTTTTATTATAAGAGATTATAATAAAAACGTTGAAATTGTTACACAAAAGCTTTCATGTTTCAATACTATGATTGTACTTCTTCAGGCGATGATAACTGGTGATTTTTAAGGAAATTTAAAAGCAAAGTGTTACCTCTTTTTCTGAAAGTTAAAGCAGGGGAACATAAGTCCAAATTAAAGATAGACTTGTGGGTATATCTTGATTAACCAATTAAATGTCAAATCTATGTTAAATAGAAAAGTAAGCTCAGAGGGTGGAGATGGGTGAGTTATTTTTTCATGTCATGATAAACTGGAACATATAGGCCATCATTGACGATTCAGGAAAATATATCGGCAACAAATGTACCGTGATTGTAGACAAATATAACGTTCAATTTTTTGAAAGAGCATTGAAGGGAGAGGTAGGTTAATCAGATAAAAAGTTAACAGAAAAAATTAAAAGAATTTTTTTTTTTTTTTTTTTTCTAGATTCCAGAAGCTTTTTAAAGGTGCCTGTAGATAAAATTAAAAATGTGGAACATCTATATAAGATACTAGCAGTAGAGCCCGGCGTTGCCCGGGGATGTAACAGTAAGAGATAGATCAAGTATTGACCATAAAGACTGAAAAATAAAATTGACAAAGATTATTGTTTAAGGTTGACATAATTCTTGATATTCCCAATATAAATTTTTTTAACTGTTGGATTTTCTATAGCAGAAATAGTGCTTAGGTAAACAAGAGAGTCTGTTTGACATCTGTTTTGCAATGGACATTCATTAGAATTTTTATAATTACACTTGTTGGTATTATCTGTATTTGTTGCTTTGTAATGGCAATTATTACTCAGATTGTTGTATTGATTTAAAATCTTATTGTTTTTTAATAATTTTTTTCAAGATTATCAGTACAGCTATAGCTTAGTTTTAGTGTATTTCTATTAAAAATCTAAGTGGATTATTTCTGGGGAAGTGTTTCTCATTTAAATGGAGAAACGTCTGCTCTAACTTAGTACTAACCTTTTAATTAAATGGGGGTGTGTACCAAATGATTTTTCTGTTTCTATTTTTATTCTTACTATCACGGTTGTTATGTTTTATATATTTCATATCAGGGCACTTATAGCCACTATTTTTTAAGGCAGTGTTATAAAATTTACTATGTTTGTAAAAGACATCTTCACTGGAAGAGTTATTGCTAATCCTATATTCTATGGAGGAGGGTATGTGTTTGATTACGGATGAAGGGTGGTTAGAATTTGGGTGAATATATATTGGATTGGCATTTGTTATCATGTAGGGTTGGAATACATTATTAACTAGGTCTAATGTAACATCAAGGAGATCTACTTTTTTAAATTAGCGTTGAGCTTAACTTTAAGGTTGAGACTTTTAAACTCTCTGTATATTAATTTCCTGATTTTGTCTTCTTTATGTGTAAGTTTTTACGCAGTTCTCAAACTTTCCCTAAAGTTCACTAGTTTAAAGTCTGTTTTAGTTCAAAATAAAATTTTTATTTTTAATTTCTTTTTGAACATTGTTAATTCACCCATTTAATACTATAAATTATTAATTTAATAATCATAATTACAATTATGTAATATAAACACAAAATGAATTCATGTTGTTCTGCCAGGCAATTTATTATTATTATTATTATTATTATTATTATTATTATTATTTTTTTTAATTTATAAAAAAGAAAAAAAATGTATGAAATTCCCGCCAATGTCACATTTGATTTCTTCACATAAAAATTGACCTTGTGTCTCGGATTGTCCTTATGGTGAGGCAGTTAAATTAGAATAATTTGTTTTAATAGTTTTAATCCATAAAATCATTTTTAGTCTTGGTTATTGAAAAGATTTATTTTTGTTTACATAGCATATTATATAAACAAAAATAATTCTTCTTCACAATAACTGAGACTTAAAATTAAACATTCTTTTTATGAAACTTAAATTTGTTTCTATGAAATTCATGTATTTCTTAAAATTTCATAGTTTTCGAGATGGATCTTCATCTTTATTTATTTAAAAAACACAAACAAACTTTTATTTGAAGTTTCCTGAAAAAAAGCTTTATAACACTTGTATTAAAAAACCTAAGGTTTAATTTCCATCAAAAATTCTATTTAATTTTATTTTACTAATATTTTTCTTTGGCATAATTGAACTTTCCTGTGTTAAAATATTTTGGAATTTTTCCTCATTTATTCCTCCTCAGAGCCAAACAAAATGCAAATAGGTAGAAGTGTAAAAAAAAAAAGTTAAAAATTAATATTTTTATCCCATTTTTTTCTGGCATGATTAAGCTATAGTTTTTTTCTAATTTTAACATGATTTGTTTCAATATTTTTAAAATAAAACTAGTTAAATTTCATCTAATAATAATTTAATAAATAACTGAAAAAAATCGACTCCATGCAAAAAATACACATTTACAGTTGTTCTCATCCTTATGAAGATTTTAATCATTTGTAATCTTATTTTAATATTTTGTAACAGTTGAATGTCACACCTCATAAAATAATCTATTTTTTAAAAAATAAATCAAGGGATATGTTTTTACTTTGTTGTGTACTTTTACTCTTTTTCTTTTAATAAAAATAAAACACTTTTTAATTCTTTTTAGAAATTATCAAATTTTTTAGTTGTGAGAAATTTATTTTAGACAGTAAAACTTATTAGTGGTTAAATTTTTTAAATAAGATTGAAGACTCTTAATTCTTATTAAATGTCCATAAGTAAATTTAAAATTTGCATTTATTTCTTATTCACTGTCCTGCAAGATTAGGTATGCTTTGTACTTTATCAAAATATATACATGAGTTAAACCACAATAAATATGATGATGCTTTTCTGCTTAGAGTATTATTGTTGCAATACTATATACACACACACACACACACACACACACACATATATATTAGAGTATCTCTTATTTTTGAAGTGCATGCTGAAATTGAATTGTCACCCCTAAATTTGTTCTATTCATTGAAAAATGACACATCTAAAATTTTAAGGAGATTGCATAATATTTCGAGAGGGCGCCTTTGCTTGTTAAAACTTAAAAGCTGGTCAAAAAATAGACCCGTTTTCATTTTATAATTATATAGCAAACCATTATTAGTTGAATCTTTTATAAATTATACACATTAGAAAATGAGAAACATTTTTTATCTAACAGTGAAAAATTTAAATTTTAACTGACATTTATTATTTTCAGACTCCAGTTATGCCAAGTGTATCCAATGACAATCAGAAAAGTGTAGTTTGGAAGTTTTTAAAGATTTCTGATGATAACAAAATTTAAGCAATATATCAGCTGTAGCTAGGTACCTTAAGTGATGTACGTAAAGAAACTGTTCTCTTTATTGTTTAAACTCGCTGAATTACCTGCACCTTGCTGCATGTCACACATTTTTTTTTGTAAGAAAATGATGATTGATTTTAAATTATTGTTATAGTTTGTGGAGAAAAATGATGTATTTCAATATGACACAATGATCTTGCTGATGTGACTTCCATCTTCTGATATTCTCTTTCTATATTTTGCATAGGAGTCATTTTCTTATTTAAATTTAATTTATATCAAAGGGAAAAAAATTTTGGGTGGTGAGACCCAAGGATCCCCTTTGACAAAATAAAATATGCTTATCCAAGTACCCCAGGAGTCATTCACTTGTTCAAATTTAATTTATATCAAAGAGAAAAAAAAAACTTTCATGGGGTGGTGGTGGTTACAAACAGACACACAGAGGCTACAACTTTATATATCTTTCCCAATTTTTTAAATAAAAAGTATATCTAACTTTATTTCTAAATTCGTTTTTCTATTAAATGTTTTATTAATAAATGTACTTTGTTCATTAAGTTTCCTGAACCAACTGTAGAGCCTGAAAATAATGAATTTTAATCATTGTAGGTATCAGAATTGGTAAAAATATTGGTATCATCCCATCACTAATATATATATATATATATATATATATATAATGTGTGTGTTTGTGTATGCATCCTGTCAAATAAGAGAAAACTGACTGTGTGCAATAGATCTTTAAAGGGAAATTATGTATATAGCAACTGCATTGAATAATGAATATCTATTGAGTTTGATTCTTGCTAGCCTGGTTAAATCTCTTGTCCTTTGCTACTCTTGTATATCTAAGTGCCTAATGATATTGTTGATATGCTTAAGTGATTGTAAATTAAGAAATATTTTTTTCTCTTTTTATTTGCAGGGGCGTCACTTGGATTCATTGCATATAAACATGAATAACAAATACTATCATGATGGCAGCTATCATGGGTCATTCAATTCTTCAAAAGGCTTATCGTCCCAGAATTTGCCATCTTACAAACGATCAAGATCAAAGTCTCAAGAACGTTCCTCCAGATCTTCTTATTATGATTCTGGAAATGAGAGTAAATGTTCTGGTTCTTACCAATCTCAGGTAGAAGAGTTTATTCGTGAAAATCTTAATGCTTCTCGACATAAATCCTCAAAGCAAAGGAGAGATAATAGAAAGAAAGACTTAGAGCTACTTGAAAAGTTGCACAGAGTTAAAGATCCTGCTTTGGAGAGGGAGCTGAAGAAATTAGCCAAAGAGAAGATTAGGAGACACTCAAAGAGTAGTCGACATAAAGAGAGTAGATTTTCCTGCTCTGATTATGAGCAAAGAGAATATTCACTTGATCGTGAAAGTGAGGAGCGATCCCCTTTGTGGAAATCTGTCCACAGATCCCCATCACCTTCATCATATAATAAAAATAACCCAGACTGGTATAAAGGCTGCAGTGCATCAACCACAAGATCATTGAAATCAAATATGAAAAATAAAACTGCATCTTCAGTATCACCTCTCATCTTGCAAGGCATCAGCTTTAATGAAGTGGAAGATGAAGATACATTCTTATATGGTGAAGAGAGTACCTCTCCAGTAAAATTTCAGGGAAAATCTCAAAAAGAATTTGGTGGTTCACATAAATCTAGAAGGTCTCCATTGCATGATGAAACTGACAGTGATAGTAATATTACAGATTCTCGTTCAAAACATAATATGTGGGATACAATTAATCAGATACTCAGTGAACAAAAACAAGAAAAGAAGTTCTGGCAGACCATTTCTAGAAAGGTTAGGGATCCCATCATCCATGATAAATCCAGTCAGCCCCAAGACCCCACGATTAAAAACATCTTAAAATCCATTGGTTTCAATTTTGAGATGTCGAAACGTATGGAGGAGCGTGCCAAGCAGGTGTCCAACAAGTCGGAATTTCTCAAGACTGGCAAGAACAACCAGTATAGTCAGCAGGGAATACCGAATGTGTCTGTAGAAATGGATAACGGCCTGATGGAAAGGACCCAAATGCAGATTCTGACTATCAAGAAATCTCTTCCTTGCAAAGATTTACTTACTGGTGTACCAAATATTGATACATCTTTACCTCCCCAACCCAACAACTTTCCTGCTTCTCTGCCTCCACCACCCCCACCAATTTTTCCAAACAGACCACCACCAAATGTTCCGCCACCACTGCCACCTCCACCACCTCCTCCATCACCACCCGTTATGCCTGCAGGTTATGGCCAAATTCCTCCACCTTGTGTAGGGATGCCTCCCTGTGTTCCATTTCTTCCCAGGCAGCAACCTCCTTTTTTGACCCCTAATGTTTATGCAAATGTACAGCCACCCCATTTTGATTATGGTCTCTATAGTCGAAATCTTTATTATGATAGTGCTAACTCTCTTGCCTCTACGTCTCCACAGTCACCAAGTATCCTATCTAATCCAACTGTCACTCCTTTGGTGGTTCCAAAGTCAGATCCCCCTGTCCCGTGTGCCACTGCATCAGCCTCTTTACCAGGTTTCTCACGAAGAGATGATCGCTCACCTCACTCATTCAAGAGACACTGTTCACCAAAAGTTGCTAGCTGGTCTCCTGAACGGGAATGGTCACCAAGAAAGAGTCAATCACCTCCTCCAAGAAGAGACTGGTCACCTCTATCTCCAAGAAAGAACCATAGACAATCCTTTCGCTCTAGAAGAAGCAAAGACAGATCCCCACGCTCTCGAAAGGATCGATTAAAACGAGATAGGTCACCATTGCATCACAGTCATTCTACAGTGTCACAAAGGCCAAGGTCCCCTCCCTGGTTAGATAGAGAAAAAACCCCACCAAAATATAATGACTCTCCACCTACTTTGCAAAGACACAGTTGCTCTCCAACAAGATTTGATTCACCGAGCAGGAGTCAATCTTTGAAACAACCACAGTCTCTTAAACTGCAAGATTTAAAAAGTAATACTGATGGTAATCCTGACAAATCTGGTTCCAGCTCAAGTGATTCTAAGGAGACTGATTCTTTAAGTCCACAGGAAATTGAACAGATGAAGAAGATACGATTGGAACATATCAATAAAGTGGAAACTCTTCAAAATGAGCTCAACATGCTTCGCAAACAGCAAAATGAACTGATGCGCAAGAAACAGCGGGTGAAAGATGGACACAAGGATCCAATTTTGGTTGAGAATGCTACTCTCCAAGATGAGATAAACAACCAAATGTCACTCCTAAAAGAAATTGTCAAAAAACTTTCTAAGAATCTTGAATCATCTGGCATGAAATTGGAACTATTTCCTTATAATAAAGAATCTTACCAACACTCAAAGCATTCAAAGAAATTGCCTGCAAACCATCCAAAATGTAAGAGTCAAAATGATGATTACTTTGAGAAAAAGAGAAACAATAAATTTCAGGTTGATTCTTTAGACAAATCCCTTCCTTCACTTAGCTGTGAGTTACCCTCTGAAAGTCTCCTATTGTCTAAGGGTGACCCTCCTTTTCCATTAAAAAGAAAAATGAGCATGGACAAGAGTAATAGGCTGGATGATGACTTAATGTCATCTGATGGTAAAAGTTTGTCTGATAAGAAAATGCCTCCATTTCCTCTGCGAAAGTCATCTTTTTTGCAAGAAAGTTTCTCAGATAGGAGAAAGATGACAGATGATGAGGTAAGTTATCTTTTTGTTCTGAATTTCAGATCTCTTTTACTTATTTAATCAAAATGATTCCAGTAGTTTTAGAAAGTAATGGAATGAATTGCTGAGGAAATATTAAAATTAGGTCAATATAATATAAACTCTAAATAGTTTGAAATATATTTTGAGGGTTATGATTAATTTTTGATTTTATTTTCTTAAGATTGTCTTAGAAAAAAGCATTTAAAGATGGAATAGAAAAGAATTGATAAGAGAGATACAGAAAAGGAGTTGAGTTTATTAAACCTTATTTGCATGTGCAGTATAGTAATTCTTGGATTTATATATATTATTTGTTGTTTTTACATTTTAGTTTAGAAAACTTAAAATGTCTAGAAAAATAAAAATAAATTAGTCTGTAAAATTGGTAAAAAAGATCTTGCACTTTAGGCTACATAATAATAAAAATGATAGAAATAACTTAATATCAACATTTCTCTTCTTTTAGTATTTTAAATTTGACAAGTATATGAATAGGTTTGTATGGTATAAAAAGTACTTAATCTAAGATGTTAGCTACAAAGCTTGTTAAAATCATAGCAGTGCTATACTATTTAGCTTTATATGACATTTCTAAAGCCAACTATTACAGTAAGTGGGTCACTTTGCTTATAGTTGTGGTAACAAATATTATCAACCAAATGTTTGAGATGTCATATGAGATTTTAGTGTCATGTTTTCTGTCCTATTTATACTCATTTGGATTTGAAAAAGTTTACAAATTTCCACTTGCAGTCAGTTTTCCTTTTACATAATTTATGATAATTCATGTCTATGAAATAACTAGAACCCTAAAATCTGTATACGTTTGTATATAATGAATATTTTCTTCTTATTCTATGTTCCATGTCCTTTAATGACGTGGATGATCATGGCTTGCTAGAATCACCTCTTCTTTGTAGCTCTTAGTAAAGTTTGTCTTTTTGCTATCTATCTTAAACTCTGTTCTGACAAAAATTTGCACAAGCTCGTTAGGTAGGTTATCTGCTGCTTTCCTCTGTCACTCTTGTCTTCAATATGTCCTGTGAGTGTCAGATTATCTAAGCTGTCTTTTCTCAAAAGCAGTTTAAAATGTCTCATTCTGATGCAAAACATAAGTATCTTTTTTGTTTCCATTTTCTCTAAAACTTTGTCATTGCTCACATATTCAGTTCATTCTCAACATCCTTCTGTAGAAACACATTTCTGTTGCCTCAAGTCTGTAATGAGATTGTCCAGTATTTATTGCCATGTAGGAGGACTGATATTACATAACAGTTCAGTAGTCTTTTCTTTGTTTTTAATAAAATTTTCCTGTTTCTTAATACTTTATTTAATTTTTGAAAGGCATCTTTCGCTATCCCAATTTGTCTTTGGATTTTGGTGTTGCATTTTCTGTTAAAACATTTCCTAGATATTTGAATTTTTGTACTTGCTTGTGTTTGGTATTTCCAATTTGTACTTTGCATCTTGGGCTGTTCTTTTTGCTGACAACCATACATTGTCTTCTTACAATTGATGTTTATTCTTTTCTTTTTACTTTCTTTTACTGAAATGAATTCAAAAATAGAAAGGAGCATAAGACAGGGAAGTGTTTTCTGTTTTCTTTACAGTGCGGCAATTCTGAGAGAATTAGAAGTCCTACCAGTCTTTGTTAGTAACAGCCAAAATCTTAACATTAGATATGCAGATGACACAGTGTTGATAGTAGACAAACAAAGGAAACTATAGGAACTCCTGCAGAAAGTAATGAATATAGGTTTCATAAAATATGAAATGGTCCAAAATAAATCTTTCTAAATTAGATGCTGTTCTTAGTTTTAAATATGCTGTTTTGTAAAATATCTCCATATCTCTTTCTAATGCCTCCTTGGCTTTCTTTCATCTTCTTGTTAGTATCTGAAAGAAAAGGAGAATGTAAACCTTGGGTACTCAATTAAAGATTAATCCTTTAGTTTCATATGGCCATCCTGAGTTATAATTGTTAAGTTCTAATTTGAATTGGTCATCCTATGAGCAAAATTTGGATCCCATAATACTATGCTTTTAAGTTGAAAGAGCTGACAATTATGAATTGAATATGTATTAATGCTGAACAACTAACAATTTCTAAAATAACTTAGATTAACTTCTTTTTTGTTTTCATATCAGCTGTTAAATATGTTTATCATTTTGGTAGGAAATAAGAAGCAACTTTCAATAGGTATGTCTCTTAGATGGTATGCTCTCAATAGAAAATAATTAGATATGGCTGTGGCAGGTTAGAGAAGTTAAATATAATAGTGAAACTTTATAAGTAATTGTTAAGTTTCATATAGTGTTAATAAAGTTGGCAAAATTGTTCTTTTATCACTTCTTGCAAACATGTAGAATGGCTAAATAGGTGCACAAGTTCACATCTCATCACGCTAGAATGGTTCATGTTTCACTGTAGAATTAGGTTTGATTAATTTCTTCATTACAAGGAAGTACTTTTAAAATAAATAATAATAAATTTCAGATATATACAAATATAAATTAGGTCTGAATTTTACTACTTTTGATTTGATCATCCAGAATGTTTGCCCTGAATTAACATCTATTTTTAGATTGGTTAGTTTTATATTCATGCTAATTGTATTTAGGATAATACATTAGATTTCATTACTGAACAAAACCCATAAATCATGATTATATTTTTAGATTGAAAAAAAAAATAATTTGATAGAAAAGTATTAGTGAATTAGTTGTAAGTTGCTAATCTTTTACATACAACATTCATCTATACTTTTTTTTTTTTAATTCTACTTTTGATTTTAAGAGTCTCATTTTTCTGACAATTTTCTGATATTTGCAATTTCCAATTCCTTTCTTCATTTGGGTTTTCTTGAAGTTTCAATTGCTCTTCTTGTTCTGTCCCTCAGGATGAAAGTAAATTCCCAGAGGATCAACCTGGCACCCAAAAAATGAATTTTGAATATTTTGACCCCGGAAATCATTGGTGCCGCCATTGTAATCTTGTAGTTGGAAATATTTATGAACTTTTCCAACATCTTCAATCTAAGAAACATAAAGCAGTAAGTAGAAAGAAAAATCTTTCTTTCATGTTTTGTTTTTAATGTGATTTAAATTATTTTAGTTTGTAATTTCTTTTTTTTTTAATGTTGTTGCTGTTTTTTGTTTGTTATTTAGAAAATAAATAGTAATACATTTTAGTTTCTCCTTTGTGTGCACTTATATATATATATATATATATACACACACACACTTTATTATAGGATATTACATTGAAACATGTAGGAACAACACTACATAAATGCACTCACGTTTCAATGTGTATCAACGCATCTCATCAGGTGTTAGAAAATGACTGAGTATTACAATTATTAGCATTTACTTACATATAACATCTTTTCTTAGAAAAAAAATGAAGAAAGAAAAGAAAAAGAGCAAAAAAGAAAGACAAGATATAATCTTTTTCCAGAAAGTAGCAAGACTTGTTATGTTTATAATCAGTTCAACCAATCAAAAGGGTTTATACTACGTAAGAGGTCATGAAACACAGATTTAAAATTGCAATGAATAGACGTTAAATTTGAAAGAAAATTTTGCTGCAATGTTAATGACAAATAGCTGACATTTCCTATGAGGAAGAAAAACGTAATTTAACAATACTTTATAGGAGATAAATAATATGGATTTTTAAGAAATAAAAGAAGGAAAAGGAAAGAAAAAATATTTAACAAAATAACAAAAACTTAACAATCAAACAAAATATTTAGATAAATGGAATAAACAAAACTTTTAACATATATATCATATAAAATAATAAAATATATAGATCATACTCAATGGAATGCAACTGTTAACTGAAGGGTTTTATATAGGTATTAATAAAACAAATCAATAGAGAATGTTAAAATGTCAACCAAACGTATATATCTCTAAACAAAATATTACCAGTAATGTTAGAAGAGTAACATACAACTATACTACATTGAAAAAATCTAACTAAAGATAAGCTTTATATGTCTACAACAAGGTTATTCAACATATAAGAAGTGATTGTCAAGTTTCAAAGTCCATCAAGATTGCAGGGTTAAAGGTAAAATGTGTTTACAATTGACCATTAATTCAAATCATTGATTTAATAAATTCTCCTTATTTAAAAATCTGATTATCTGCATTTCACCTGTAAACACAGAAAACAAGTTTCATATAAGGATTTACATGTCCTTGCCAGTTTTAAAATTTTCCATTTAACTTTAGGGGTTTTATTTTCTTTCAACTTACAAAAATATTTTGAAAGAGAAGTACTATTTCTATAAGTAGCATTAGTAAAAGAGGATATGTGCTGATACCAGTGTTTTTTGAAAGCATTCTTAGTACTGCCAATATAAAACTCATCAACCCTCAGATTTTTTTTATTGTAGAGATAGAACACAGATACACAAGGGATTCAGTTAAGCATTTATTAAACAAGGGGCATTGGTTGGGATTCCTACAATTACATTGGTTAATGTCCTTAACAATATTTGTATCAGTGCTTGCATTATGGTTAAAAGTATTAAATTTGTTAAGTGTTTTATTGCTGTACAACTTTGATTTTCTCAAGATTATTGGTGTATCTATAACTAAGTTTTAAGGTATTCCTAAGTTTTAAGGTATTCCTATTAAAAATCTTACTAAGACGGTTGCTTTTCAGAAAATGTTTGTCAGTTAATTTGAGAAACTTATGGCCTAACTTCATACTAATTAATTGATTAAATGGAGGTGTGTACCAGATGATTGTCCTATTTCTATTTCTTTTCTTTGAATTACCATCATATTCTCTAAACTGAATTTCAGTGGACTTATACCCACTATTCCTAAGAACTTTATTGTACATACTGCTATGTTTCTCAAACACATCTTTTTTTTGATGAATGTTTACTAATTCTACATTCTACAGAGGAAGGAATATGTCTGATTATAGATGTTGCGTGATTAGAATTAGGGTGGATACAGATTGGGTTGGCATTGTTTTTCATTTATATGAAAAACAATGCTAAAACAAGGCTGAAAATTATCATAGACTAAACCTAACGTCACATCAAGAAAATCAATTTATTTGATATTAGTACTTATTTTAACCTTAAGATCTAAACTTTTAAATTCCCTATGAATCATTTTTCTAAGTTTATCAACTTTAATTTGTGTAGAGTTTTTTCTACAACTCTAAGACCATTTTCTATATATAGCTCTATACTATCTAGAGTAATCTCCTCATAAGCAGTAAGGTTATCTCCTTTTTTAACTCTAGATAAGCAAGGTAGGTTAGATATGATGGTAAGAAACTGTTTTTATTCACTACCAAAAATTATGTGATGGTCTGAATATATCATTATAGTGTTAATCTATAGAAGTTTAAATAGTATATTTTCAAATGTTTAGTTTATTTTTTTAGCTGAAAAAAAAAATTAAATTAATGAAATTCATTAAATAAAACAGCTGAACATATTTTGAATAATTTGTTTTACTTTATATTTGCAATATTTATTTGTTTTCATAAATTTAATGTATTTCAGTTTGAATTTGTGCTCTTCATTGCTTCTTTTTCTATTATTTCTTTTTTTAATGTGATTTTGAAATTTCTAATACTTCATTTCAACATAATAAACTTTCATATTAATAAAAATATTTTTTTTATTTGTTTTCCCTTCTGAAAAAAATAAATACATGAAATACTTGTGCATTTTCCATTAACAAGAACATTTAAGATCAGGAATTAACTTCTATTCTCTTTCTTTCTTTCTTAGAAACTGGATCATTATGACCGTCCTTGGTTGCCAGAATCAGTTAGTAACCCAAGCAACAAGCCTAAATATGGTCAAGTACAAATGGCTCCCATCAAAGGTGAATAGTCTAAAAACAATGTTGTTTTTCAAAGTGTGATTTTTAATATCAGATAAGTTATAATTTTTCTGTAAAATTTAGAACAACCATTTTCCTCCTTTCTTTCAAGAAAAAGAATATATTGCATGATAAAAAATAGTTTATCATGGCTAATAACTGAGTTTCATAATATTTTCTTATAAAAATGTATATTTTGATACCTTTTCTACAACTTCAATAAGCTTAATGTCATTAAAACTTTAAAGTCAATACCTGAAATAAGTTAAAAATCTTTTTGGAATTTTGATGTTTAAAATATAAGATACACATCTTTCCAAAATTAATTTGTTACATAAGCATTTTTAGGAATAAATAAGTTTATTAAATACAATTTTCCAACCAATGACTTGTCTGTTTCTTCTTGTTTTAGGTGTCGAGTTTCTTATGTCAACAAATGCATTCTATTGCACTTTGTGCAAAGAATTTTCTGGAGATGTTCTCAGTGCAGAAGCACATTTGAAAAGTGGTGGCCATAATATGACATATCAGGTTGGTATATATTTGGCCTGGCAGCTGCCTAACCACTGGTCATCTAGTCTTTCAACCTATCTGCTCCATATCAGTGGAAGCCACCTTCAGCAAATAGAAAAAAAGAAACAACTCAAAAAGAATTGTTTCATCTAAGCTTATATTTTATGTATTTAGAATATTTCTACAATCTGCTTACTTATTTGAAAATAAAGTCTTCATTTTTTTTATTTATATTTTGTTCTAAAATGTAACATGATCTTTTTTTTTTTTTTGTTTCAAAGTTATTTGATTATGATTCTTGTTGTTGACTTATTTATTGTTCTTTGCCTATATTTTTATGAAAACATAATAATGAAAAAAAACACACACACACATATACATATATATATATATATATATATATATATATATATATATATATATATATATATATATATATTTGTTAATGAATTTTTCTTGTATGAAATTTTGTTCATAGTAACATTTATTTTGTATGTTTCCTCTGAATTTTATTATGTAACATTTAATCTTACTGTTAATAAGATTATTATTTTCAGGGTGTTGTGTCCATTAAAAATAAATAAATAAAAATTAATTATACTATGACAAATAATTATAATAAAATAATTATAACAATTATAATTATCATTAATATAATTCATCCTTTCTAAGCCAATGATAATCAACATCACTCTTCTCTTACAAACATGTAACACCCTTACAGTCAGGTAAGCTTATGAAGCTAAAGACAAGGGTTTACAAAAATTTTGGCTCTTTTACTTTTCAGGTCACAACAATAAAATTTGTCTCTTAACTCGCATAACTAAAATTCAAAGTAAGAAAACTCCAAACACTTTCTTTTTCTCCAATTATCTGGACACTCACTACACACCTTGTATAAAAAAAAAAAAACAGAGGAAAGACTGTATACAATTTACTCATTATTTATCTTATCAATCTGTCAGATTCATATATAATCCCAACTCACAATTTACTCAGTATTACTGTCTTTCATGTCACTAACATCGCAGAACCACCAGATAATAAGTAATACTTGTTGCTGTTTCTCATTTTTACAAGTATTTTTGTATGTATAAATGTTAGGGGGTTTATAATTATTTACACCTTACAAAGGTTTTATTCTTATTTGTTTTAATCTTTTTCAATGAATGTTACTGTTCTTGCCTTCATTACTGCCACTTGTTTTTGGCTATAGAAATTACATTTGAGTTAATTTATTGAAATTTTTGAATCTTTGTATTGATATTTTATAGTTGTCTATTTTGTATTTCTTCCTTATGAACTCTTTTCAACTTCTGTTGCATTAATGTTGTCTTTTGTTTGAGAAAACATCCACATAGTTTTTCAGATCATGTAAAAGATTTAGTCTGCATTATAGTTTTAAAAAATCTTTGGTATTTTAGTATTTTAAATTTTTTATCAATTTTGCTTTATGGCATTGGGAGGAGTTTTTTTGTCATTGGTAAATAAAATCAAAATTGTTCTTTGTTAAATTGTATATTGGAAATTAATGCTTTTTAAAGGCTTCTAAATTAAATCAGTTGTCATCAAAATGCCATAAAGATAAATTTTGAAAAGATATATATATATATATATATATATATATATACTTATTGACTGACTCCATGCAAAATGTAACTAGCAAACACATTTGAAGATATATGGAATAATATGTTAACTGTATTGGAGAGATTTTAGTAATGAGCTTATAAAGTATTTACTAACTGTTCATTCCCAACTTATACAGATATCTTTAAATTCATTTTAGGATGGTTATACAATGCTAACAACTAATAGCAATGGTTTAAAAATGGGAATATCCATCCTGTAGATTCAAAAAATCATCACATCATTAAAGAAATAAAAAAAATTCAGCATCAATCTAAATTGTTTAATAAACATTGAGATTGCTGGATTTATAGAATGAATTTACAATAGAAAAAATAGAATTGCTTGATTGGTCAAACATTCCAAGATGATCAAGAAACAGGTAATTCATTATGTAAAAATGGAAATAAATTTTCACTAACGTTTTGGTATTGTAGGATGTTTGATAAATATAATTATTTTAAACTCAGTGTTTGTTAAAATTTGAATGATTTGCAAAAATGAATTTACTTTGTAGCTATGGGTCTATTTATTGAGTTATATTGCATGAGGGTTTTATTTTAATTTCTAAGTTTTGATCCTCATTATGGAGAGATTAACATTTTCACCTTAATATTTATTATCATATGTAAATCATAGGGGTCTCTACTCCAAATATGACATTAAGTTCTAATCTCCCATTCATCAATCTTTGTGATGAAATATTTGTTAAAACACTTTTTCACTTACAAACATTCAAAGAATTGCAATGTAACTTTCGTACATGGCATCCAATTACAAAAAAATGTCTGCATTAATACATACGATTTTCATTTGCAACATGATTTTTTAAGCAAATGATTTTAATAAAAATGCACATTATATAATAAAAGTTTAGGAATTTTATAAATTTAGAATTTGTATTACAAAATTGTTATTTCTGAGGCTTTTACACTTTTTATATATAAGTTTATTACTTCTTAATAATTTGCATTGTCTGATTTTAAATAAGTCTTTTAGTTAAACATTTAGTTGTAGTAAATTAGCTGCAATCTGTTGGCTTTGAATTCTGCTCTTATTCATGAATTTTAGATTTGTTTTTTCAGTCTGTTATATAGATGTTTGATAATCATGTAAAAATAAAACCTGGTTGCCAAACTTTTATCCCCATCTGCCATTAATATAGTTATAAATGTGACAAATATTTTCAATACGTTTTCTTATCTTTATACTTAACCTTTATAAATTTGTAGTGAAACATGCACTAAAAGTAATTTGATTCCAGGGACGTAACATATTATCTTGAATTCGAAGAGGAAGTTATCTGATATGCAAAATATCTTTTTTTTTGAGGTCTCAAATAAACTTTACAAACTAATGTTTTATTTGGAAATTAGGATAAAGCAGTACATAGTATCATGAAATGACATTACTTTTTAAAACTTTTGTTTTTGTTAATATTTTTTAAATTTTTAAACAAATATTAAAAAGTTTTGGAAAAAAGTATATTTTTTTTTTCTTAATTTTAATATAGATATTACAGATTGATTAGAATTTGGTCTTAAAAATTTTGCTTGGTTAATTTTTAATTTTTCACTGATAGTTTTAGAAAATTTTAATTTTCTGCAATTTGAAAAGATTTGAAAAATATTTTAAAAGAATGAAATGGTAAGAAAAACTATTAAATTTATATTGACCCTTTCCTGCTATTTTTAAAGATGATACATTATTGCATTTGTATTAATTTTTTTGTATATTTATTAATAACTTGGCATTTCTATTTTGTATTTCAGAAATATATACAAAACAACCCATATTATGAGAAGCGCTTAAATCTTGATAAAGCTGCTGGTCTTCAGTTCTTCACTTCAGAGAAAAATGAACAAAGAAAAAATATCGATGATAGTGACAATGAAGATGGCCGAGAATCTCCAAAAAGGAATCGGCGGGAAATCAAAGAAAAGACAGTTGAGGAACCCACTCCTGAAGTTTCGACCAAAGAAGAAACCAAAATAGTGGCAACAGCCCAGAAAGAGGAAAGCCTAGAAAATTCTAAAGAATCTGTTGAAGAAAATCATGATAAAGATTGCGAAAATATTATACTTCCAAATCTGGATAAAGATGATTCCATTAAATCTGCTCTTGATGAGTTGCCTATGAAAGAGAAAACAGCTTATCAATCACTGCAAGGTGTCCAGAAGACAAAAATTGCTATCAAACTAACTGGAAAGACAGGAATCAAGCCAGCCCAGTATCCAGTGATGCCACCTTGGATCCCCGTAGGGAAGATGCCTGGTCGAGGGAAGGGTCGTGCTCTCAAATCAGGTGTTGGCAAAAAATTAAACTCTAAAGAAATTGAGAAACCCTTATCACTAGATGACTTTTTAACATCCAGTAATGAGGGCAACATCCCGGTTTTGTCAGAGAGTGAGCCAGAACCTACTGCAAGTTCTCAATCAACTACTGGCAACACTGAAATGAAAAAACTCCAAAATGGCAAAAAGGTTACCGAAGATGATATTGCTAATGTTTCAATTGTTTATGGTCCAGTTGCAGAAGCAAAGGACACAAAAACAAAGCCATCTTTAGGGCTTGATCAACCCCCATTACCAGCAGGCCCCCATTCATCACTTTCTAATTCAATACCATCAAAAACATCTGAACAGTCCAAAGAGGAAAATCATTTGGTCACTTTTCAACATCCACCTCCTCCGCCTTGTTATCCACTCCAACACTCACCACTCCCAGTAGAGCAAGAGTTCAATTTTTCCCAGTCGACTAGAATAAATGAAGACAAGTGTTCAGATCCAAATGAACCTCCTACTTTAGTTATTGGCCCTCATCTCCCTCTTCATATGCCTTACTCAAGCACATCTTTGGTTAGCAAACATCCCAGTGCTAAATCCCAAGGATGGACACAAGAGGATCTAGATGACATGAAACTCTTGGGGATTGACCCTGCCTCCCAAGTACCCATGGCAGAGATCCGACCACCACCACTGCCACCCTTGCTTCATCGGCAAAGCAATGAAACTGAAACAAAAAAGAGGAATGAAAATTCTGCTACAGATGATCAAAATACAAATTTGTTGAATAAGAATTGTACAGCTTCTGATTTTTCTACTGATGATAAAGCTGTGGCTAAAGAAGAATTTTCACTAGAAAATACCCAAACATCAGTTCTTCCATCTGATTTATCTGAGCCTAAAACAACTGTCAAAGAAAATGATAAAAATACTCCCTCTTCAACTGAGAGCCAAGAACTATCAGAAAACATTAAGCTTGATGCAAATCTTTCTTTGCCCAAAACTGAAGAAATCATTTTACCTAAGAGTCCTGAAAAGAAAGTTAACTTTTCAATCAAGACTGACAGCACAAATGAAGTCATTACAGAAACTTTGTCAAAACCACCAGATATTGTTAAAGAGGCTGAATCGATCCCTATTAAAGAAAAATCTATTTCTCACTCCGAAGTGAGAGTAACAGAATCAAAAGAAAAGAAAAGTAGCTCAATTTCAATTGCCAAAAGTGTTTCTGCCAGTGCTACTTTGTCAGGAATATCTGATGTCTCCAGTCTAAAACTCCAACCTACCATTTCATTAGTCCCACTTCCTGCCTCACTGGACATGGCTCTCTCTAGTGACTGGGAAGTTCCACTACCCAGCAGATCAGATGTTTTGATCCGCGAATCAGAACACAATTATGCACTTCGACTGATGGAGAATTCGGATCATGTAAGGCCCCGCAGAAATCATATCCAGATGCATAACAACAACAACAATGATGACGACGATGACGACGACGATGATGATGATGATGATGCACCTAACTGGAAGGATCGATCACTAAAAATCAAGCCAAATATTTTGAATAATAAGTCACATGATGACGAAGACAAGAGTGAGCTGAACTCATCTTCAGATAGTGATTCTGAAGTTTCATCTGCATCTCATGATCCGTCTCGATGTCTGGACAGTGATGACTCCACATCTCCTCCTGTTCTAACCCATGAGCGAGAACAAAACAACCTGATTGCCAAGCATGACCTTAATAGCCATGATTCCCCTCCTTCTCTGTCAGCTGAGACACCTTGTCTTGCTAGAAACGTTGCCCTCCCTTGTCCTTCCACTGTAATGCCAGTTACCTTGATTTGCTCGTCCAAATGTGACAGTAGTGCCCTCTTTTCCACTGCTGAACCCTTATGCATTGACTCTACACCTATATTGGATAACAGCATGTCTATCTTGAACTTTGACTCGGTAGTCAGGAACCGTGCAACAAAAAGCACAACACGAGGACGACCTGCTAAGAAGCAGGCTGCTGGCAGCAAATCAAGCGGTCGAGGAACTAAAAAAGCAACAACTATGAAAAAGAAAACCCTACCAGAACCAAAACCACGTACACCAGCTCGAAAATCCAACCAACCAGAGTTAAATTTGTTAAGTGGAAATAAACTTGAACAAGAGAAAATCATTGTAAAGGTGACCTCTCACACTTCGGAAGGTGTCCCTGTGATAAGCCTCACTGCTGCTTCAACTGGAGCAAATAGCTCTGAGCCATCCACTTTGCCAATCACTACCTCTTCTTCAACATCAACGGTCACTATATCATCTGAGATGGAAACTGGGGATACGTCCCTAGTAGAAGCTGCTGCTAAGAAGGCAGAAACCCTACCCAAAATGTTTATGCCTACTGTTGTACTTCATGACATCAAGTATACAATGGGCCGGGATCTGTCCCAGATGACAGCTATTCCAGCCTCAATTGAGAACATTCCAATTTTTGAATCTGAAAATGAATCTGACAATGATGTCAAGTCAGATTCACCTAAAAAGTCAGGAGACACTTCACAACGCCCACTGGAAATTGAATCTCCTTCAAAATCCACTGAGGCATTTGACCCTTATATATTTCTTAACAGACCAACAAAGCTGTCAGCGCCGTCCACTAGTAGTTGTACAAATCATAATAGTAGCAACATAACTGGTAGTAGTACCCACTTAATTGGTGAAGCTTCTTCCCTTACCAGTATAGCAGCTGGTGGAACAAGTTCAACGGGACGAGTGACTGCAGACTCTTTGCCGTCTCTTGATCATCGTTCAATGGTTAGCAGTATGTTTGATGTATCTGATTCTAAATATGCTTTCCCGGACGTTTTCTTAGAGAATGGTGAACCAGAGAGCTCAATGAAATTGTCAACCATTGATGTACTAGGACCTGAATTACCATTTGAAACCTCTGGTAAGAGCAGCATTTCTCTCGGTTTGGACATCCTCACTGATTTTTACCCCAACACTGGTAATGAAGAAACTGGTTAGATGCTATTTGCTGCAATTTAAAACAAACATGTAAATAATAATTTTTGAGAGAGAGAGAAAAATGAAAATGGATGATTCTAGTTGTCACTCATAAAAATACAGTTTTCTTTTTATTTGTTACTATTTTTCAATTATAAACATTTATTAAAAAAATGGTTTCATTAGGATTTAAAAATTTTCTCAACCCAATATCCTCACTTAATTTTTAAAAATTTTTAATCTGTCTCTGAATTGTTATGCCACCTTTTAAGTATTTTGTTTTATATCCTTGTAAGGATTACAAATTGTTTATTTATTTATTTTTTATTTATTTTATTTTTTTGCAATTTTATTTTTTTTTATTATAAATTAGTTTCATATTGGTATAAACTTTTTCGGTATATTCACATTTTATGGTCAATATATATTTTTTTATGAAATATTAGCATCCACAAGTGTTTTGGTTTTTTTTTATTATGGAAATTTTACCAACAATATTTAAACATTTTGTATAACTTCAAAAACATTTTTATTAATGTTTTTTCATTACCTTTATTTTTACTTTTTTTACTGATCTAATCTCCAGCCTTTATCAGGTGAATGTGGTTAGAGAATTTTCTGGTGAAAATATGGTGAGGAAAAAAAAACAAGGATAAGGATAATAGTTCAGTTGTTATTACATGATGTGAATAACTCTTAAATTTTTAGATTAAAAACAATTACTTCAATTTTAAATAATTTTAAAAAATTATCTAATTAAAAAATTTGAAAATAGTTTTTTCCTCACACACACACACACACACACACACACATACACACCACACATACCCTAATGTTAACATCATTGATTTATGTCACCTGAACAAGAAGTTCAGGGCATCCCCAGGTGTTTGTAGCTAGTCAAAGTGTGATAAGCATTTTCTAGTTCCACTTGCAGACTGGATTTTGTAGATGGTTGGGTTTCAATATTATTCACTTTGAGATTGTATCCATTGAAATTAATCTCAAAAGTCTTTTTTACTTCTTTTTTTTTTATACCATTGAATTTTATTTCTTAAATTACCAGAGAACGAGAAAAAAATTTTTTTTTTTTCAAAGAAAAGAATCTTATATATTGTCTTTGTTAAAAATTTGTTATACTAATATTTAATTTTGTCTTGAATATTTTTTATAAATTTTCTATTTTCTATATTTCAAGAGTGTAAGTAATATTTTTGTATTTTACACTTCATCTAAGTTTCTGGGAGACAAACTATTACCTTAGCTTATTTAATACCTTTATAAAGCAGTTTTATTGGGTAAAATCAGTATGAATATTCGTATCATAAATATTGTGTATATATAAATATGTACATACATTTTCATGCATGTTTACATTTATAATGTATACACTTTTCAGTGCCCCTTCACACACACACACACACAATTTCAGATATAACTAAAAATATACATGTATAAAAGGACAGTATGAATAAAGACAAGAAAATTTAGCCAACATGTTTCGTACTTTGATGGACATTTGATAAAGTCCATCAAAGAATAAAATGTGTTGACTAAGATAACTTTTCCTTTGTCTTTATTGATGATATATATATATGATGGGTGCTAAAAAAAACTCTCAGCCCAAACTACTTACTAAAATCTGAGTAAACATAATTCATTTTTGATCCCTTCTTCTTTAGGCTAAGAACTTTTCATGTCCACCATATATATGATTATAAAATTTTAAAAAACAAAATAATACCTACTAGAATATTAAGCCCTTGATTATCCTTACTTTCTCTCTATATTTTATGTTATCTCATATTTGTGTAGTAGTGATAATAACAAGCCAACTGTATTTTTCCACCCGTTGTCAGGGGTAAGAATTATTAATGAATAAAACAAGGGCATCATTACAAACTGAAAATCAATCAAACATATTTAGTTGATGTATGAATATTGAATGCACACATTGTATTACTTATTTTACTGCCATAAACTGTTTTCGCCAGGTTTTTGTCTGATTAAATGTTGTCCAATATCTCCAAATATGCAATGGAAAACACAAAACTCATGCATGCATATCAGTTGCTTTTAGAACATGTACAAAAATATCTGGTCTATATATTTAGAATCCAAATCATTTTTTTTATATCAGTTGGAACTTTTTTCTTCAGCTTTTTATGATTGTTTTTCTTCTTTGTTTAATAATTCTTTTTTAAAACATGAAACCCTAAACATTTTCAACAGTGTTCAAATTCAGAATAGGATTCACTCAAGTAGCCTCTCACTTACCAATTAAATTGATTTAAATCTTTTATTAATCAGAAAGAAATATTGTGCTGTTCAGGATTTTTGTTAATATTCTTCAATATTAAATACTGCACAGTAATTTCTGATTGAACATTGTGCAATAATATTGTGTTGGAGCTCTTCAGGTTTCTTCAATATTAACATGAATCTGACGTTTTTAATCTAAAACATTGTACTATATGTGTGAGAACTGTTTTGTAATAACTTTTGGGTATCAAATACAATTGCCAAAATTATTAAATTATTTTCTTCAATTTTTTCTCTGCTATGATCCTCATTTCAGGATGCTTGTTATCCTTAAATAATTTTCTCCATTTTATGATTATTTTGCTTTACATTTATTAAGCTTATGTAAAATTCCTGGTGGAATTATTTGAACTGGCCTTTTATTTTCAAAGTTGAAGAATTCCCATCAGCATGATTCCAGATGGCAGAAAAGTGTATTGAATATATTCGGTCATTTACACATACAACTGTTTCTTTTAAAAACATATTTTCATCATTTCAAAGTGAAAATCTGTATATTCACATCTGACAGTACATAAAAGGAAAACTATCTGAAACTAGACTCAAATATTTATTGGCAAATCATTAAGAACTTATCCTGAAAAATAATTAAAATGATTAGAAAACATATATGAACTGAAATGTGTGTTAATAGCTAAGCCTGTAAATAACGGTTGATTAATTAAATATCAAATGCTAAGATTCTAAAATAAAAAGATATGTACACAGTAAAATCATTTACATTCTACCTTAATAGCTAAAAATGCATTCAATATTATTCACGTAGTGTATAAAGTTCTGATATTACCAAAGGGAATTATATTCTGTAGCGCTTTTCTACTTATTCAAAACTTTTATAGCTAATCTTTTGGTAAATCACTTGAGATTTATTCAGTTGTCATTGTGTGATCATACATTATTAATCATTTTGCTGAGTTAATAAGAAAAAGATATTGAATAAATAGAAGGAAGGGGAAATATTGCCAAATATGGAGTTTGTATATTGCTAGTTTATAGCATATAAGGCATCTTATGAATGATGTATCAGTTTTATATATTGATTCTTTCAGACAAGGAACTGGTTTGAAAGAATCTCTTAAAATCTCGTCTTTAAAAAAAATCATACAAAAGAAATGTTTCATTTTTATAACTTTATTTCAGTAGTTTCTTTCATTAGATTAGTTATCTCCTAATACATACATAAAGTAGGCTGTATTTTTTAAAAGGCATCAGTATTCAAAATGGTGATCATTTCTATCACACTGACTACTGGTCAATGATGAAAACTTTTGTGTTGTTTCAGGATAGTCCGATAAAAAAATTTATGCTTCCCTGCATATTTATAAAAAAAACTACTTGGTCACTCTGCTAGATTGTCCAATGCAAACTATTTCTTGTTAAGGATTTGACTTTTGAATATGATTTTCAAATTTGCAACCATTTGTGATTTTTTAGTGATTTGGGCTATAATTTGATATTCGAGTTATTGAGACTCAATTACCTTAAAATTTAACTGAGATCAGTACTTGTAAAATCTGTAATTATAAAATACAAATATTCAGAATTCAACTCAGAAAATGAACTTCAAACAAAAAGAAAAAAAGAAACAAATTGATTTAGAAGCCTGGGGCAGTGATGGGTCAAGTATGGGTTTAATTATGTTATGGTTTTACTTTCAATAAAATATAAAATAAAAAAATTGATTGCTGAGCTTAAATAAAATTTAATGTTCAAACTATTGACTAATTTATTTAAATTAGAAGATTAAATATTTAATAAAATGTTAATTTTTTGTATAGGTTGAATGTCTGTGACTTAATTTCTGTATTAGTTTGAGATTGAATTCTATAATAACCAAATTGTGTAAGTGCCAAGTTATTTTAAAATTTCTTAGCAAATTGTGAGTTGAAGGGCTATGATGTTTGACTTGAGAAGCTGGTTTACATTTAACAATAAAGATGGCTGATTTCCAACATCAGCTCCAATTCCTTCTTTTTTGTAGTTAGCCTCATGCTTATAAAATTAACTTTACTCTTAGACAAAACATCAGTTTCCTGTATTTAATGATGATGAACTATTGTGTTTACACAGTTATAATAAAATATTGAAAAATTATTGGCATGAAGAAGCTACTATGAAAAATCATACATGTTAGTAATCAATATCTGTTGAACAAAGTTGAACTTGTGGTTGAGTTTAATATTTTTATGTTTATTCAAATTGTTCTCAGAATATCAATCACAGTTTGATTGATCTTGTTAATATTTATTAAGTATATATCTTGATTATATATTTTTCTGATTTACATTAATTATGATTTTTGAAAATGACTGGTTATATAATTAGTTCTTGATTTTCCATTTGTTTTATTTACTCATTTATTTCTGTTTTATTTAATTTTATTTGTCTTTGATAATTTCCTTGTCAAAGAAGTATTTTGTCATTTTGTCTTCATGAAAACAAGGCATCTATATATCAATTTTTAGTTATATATCCCGACATGTAATTGTTGCCGAGTTAACTCCCCTTTAACCATTTTAATTTTTTTTCTTTAAAAATTGTGATTTTGAAAAAATTAATTTTAATTAATACCATTTTAATTACCATTGAAATTCTCTTTAACTTTCATAGTATAAGAAGCTAAGATTCTAAAAGTTATAAGTAAATAAAAATAGATTATTTTTAATTGCACAAATAGAGAAATCAAAGAGAAATGACTG